TCAAGGTCTGAGGTTGAAACACATTGAAGAGACGGATCACGTTTTGTTCAGTCTGATAATCTCCACATGTCTACCCTACTTTTATCATTTTCTAATCATAAATCTAGTCGCCAGAAGCAAAATGCTAACGTTATGCTATAAAGGAACTACAGCAGGGTCGCTGCTTCAACGTCACGCCAACTTAAGATCCATATTCAAAACTACAGATTCTAAATGGTACGAGTTGAAGCGTTTGTTTGAACAGTTTGCAGGAGGCAGGGACTTGCTTTCAAGCAGAACTCAAACTAACTTAGAGGAGTGTTTACGTGTTCGGTGTAATGACGTACAACGGCCTCCAGAACTTCTGTAGTCCTATTCAGCCACTTGGTAACAACCATCGTTTTCCAGACACGTCCACTCTTCAGAAATCACCAGTGGGGTCACTGCTGATGGATTTAATGTTGTAGAACAAAACGTGATCCGTCTCTTCAATGTGTCTCAACCACAGACCTTAGTTCCAGCTATTTTTCTAAACCCTTTGGAGAGATCCCATTGCTTTTTGTCGAAGGAACCAGAAGTGGTAACATGCTAACTTACCTCCGGGTTTTAGGACGTGTCACTGTGGCACTCTATAGCAGCAGGTCCAATATGATAGATCCCTGCTTTTCTTTGTCAATAACATTGTAAAGCTAGTTTGGAGTTTTGGGACATTTTCTGTTGAATGAAACAAAACATTTGGCAATTTTCTGTTTCATAAACTAAACAACAAATAATCATTTGAAATAATAATCTGTAGATTAGATTTAGAGTTATTGTCCCCAGGGGGAAATACATTTTCACAACACTGTACACAGTCTACATACAATATATAAACAATAACACAGACAACAACACATGGCAGTTACACTTAGCGAGGCCTGTTATTTGAGGCAGCAGGAACCAAGCCTTTCCCAAAGCGAGCCCTTTCATGTCTCAGTGTTCTGTACCTGTGATGTCCAGTTCTTTTGAGGACGCGATGCGTGAGACGGCCCTGTTGTTAAGTATCGTGAGGTTGGAAGTAGGGAGTCCAATTATCCTGGCAGCAGTGTTGGTGATGCGTGTGAGTTTTGTCCTGTTGGTGACAGTGAGCATATTGAAAAAGCAGGGGGAGCAGTACATGAGGAGGGGTTGGATTCAATAATAGTTACTTCACAATATTTATATATATATTTGGTATATATATTATACGGAGCCCCTGGGGGCCATTTGATCCATTTAGGTCAAACAAAAACAACATTTGAAGAGTTCACGTTTGGCTCGGTTAAGTTTCATAGACTTACATGTTATTTGAAATAAATGTACTTAATAAATACAAGTTTCTACATTTCCTTTTAAATGTGTAGGAGAGTATTAGCATTAAGTTGCATAAAATGATCTTTTGAAAAAAGGCAAAAGGTCATAATCTGGCAAATAATTTAAAATACTTTCTTAAAAAAAAACATTGATACTGAATAAGAAGAGGGTTTATGTGATGCTACACGTTGGTTGTTAACTCAATCATAACATTTCACTTAAAAACAGTTGTTTGAGTAATGTTTTTCTTGACTTTTTGACAAACTTCCCGACCAAAAGGCTCCTTAGAAACACTCTGGACAACTTTGATTTTTAAAATAATAGTTATTTTAATTGTACTTAGGGAAAGCGTGTGTGTAAGAGTCATTATGCAATGAGAGTTTTCAGTCTGTGGCTTTAAGTATGGTTTTATTTTCCTGTCCGTTTAGTTTTTTATATATATATATATTTATAGATGTACAGCACTTTGGATAACTCTGTTGTGCTATAGAAATAAAGTTGGATTGGATTATGTGTGAGATAACTAGTTAACTCTTTTCTTTGTGTCCCTCTCTGAAGGCCAAAGGAGCCCGAAGACTCGAACCACATCCGCTTCTTCTCCTTCTCCCTGATCGAGGGCTACATCTCTCTGGTCATGGACGAGCAGACCACTCAAAGGTTTGAAAGCAGAACACATTATTAGTATTAGCTTCAAACTCTCACCATGTTTTTCTTAAGTTTATATTTGTTTTTTTGCAGCATGTAGGTCAGCCTTGTCCCCATGTTTATGTAAGACTTAGTGTGCTGCCTTACAGAAATAGGTCACCCATTTTACTCCACTTTACAATGGCTCTCTTATTCACTTAAACTCAATCCACCTGCTGATTTTCATCTGCTGGTTAATAGTTAGCCCCACGCTTATTAACTGTGTCATTTGTTAACCAGAGCAAAACAAAGAAGGGCTTTAAAGTAGAGACAGGCAAAACAAGATAAGGATAGGAATTCCCCAAAATCGATGTTATATAATATATATTTTCTGTTTAATTAATGAAGTACATGTTGTTTTTGTCCTCTGATTTTTCCTCCACTTCCTGTATTCTTTTGAAAAGAAAATATAAAGAAAATATTGAATTAAAAAAAATGTTTTATCTAAAAAAAAAAAGGCACAACCGGTTACTAGATAGATGTTTTTATTTTAATATTTATAAGGTAGTGTCATAATAATAATTATAATAATGCTGATTTTAAAGGTCCCATGTCATGGCCATTTCTACTGATCATATTTCTATTGTTGAGGTCTACTAGAATAGATTTATATTGTGCAATTTTCCAAACTCACATGGGTTTCTCATACAGCATCTCTGTGTATTCACTCTCTGTCCTAAACGGCTTGTTGGAGCTC